TTTAGTAAGGGCTCTGGAAACTGGTGTCACAAATTATTTTCAATAGTTAGCAGTGTCAGTGCTTTTTGAGGAGCAATTGCAAGTGGAGTGTGAAGGTTAAAAATTGAGATATGTAAAATATAGAGTTGGCTTGGTTGTTGGGGTTTTTTTGAGTTAAACAGGTGCTTATATTTATTGATGTAGTTGTATTGGCACTTACCCATAGTCAGTTAAATATGAAAAAATTCATTCTGTGCTACACAACATGAAAAGCTGTGGTCCCTCCAGGTGTTTCTCTTGGAAAGCTGGCTGTAAGATTTTTGGCAGTGTTGCAGCCATTTGTTCCTAGGAGGTATTGTGTAATTGATTTTTATACTAGAATGCATTACTTTGTGTTTTTTTGGGAGGTTTCAAACAAATCTGTGTTAAAAAACCTTGATGGGAGCTTGAGGGTTTTGAATCTGTAATCCTTTCTTTTCCCCCACCCCATAATTTTCTGTGTTTGCTCCTTTCCCTTTACAGTAGCAGGGAATTTGCTGCCCATCACAAATCTTGGGATTATGGAAGTTTGGAAATGAATAGATATTGCTGTGCTTACATAAGACATTAGGAAACAATATCTGGAGAGTTATGGGGAAGGCTCGTGCCCTGCACATTCTTCACAGTGATACAGAGTGTGTAAGATGAAAAGCAGTGAGCTGGAGCTGCTGTTTGCCATCCTGGGAGCATCAGAGCTCAGCTGGTGAATAACTCCTCACCCTCACAGTTGTTTCTTGGCTGCTGGTTGTTCTTGTCTCCTTTAGTTCCTCAGGACCTTGTTCCAGATTGGGTTGGTTACTGGCAGTGCTTGAATCTCAGACATGAGACCCAAATCTGCACGTAAAATACAACATTCTCTGTTTCCTTCTTGATTTGCTTCCCACGTCAGAATGTTTTAAACAGGCAGGATTTATTAGATGTGAGTGCAGCAGGGCATCAGCCACACACGAGTTGTGTTGTGATTGTTTGTAAAAACACCAGTTAAAGGTGCTTGTCTTGTCCCTGTCAAAGTGTGTGCTCTGGGTGTGTCAGAGAGAGTATAAATCATAATTGTTTGAAGGAATTAGTTGCATTACTACCAGATTGTTCATTTGCAGACAACACCAAGGTGGGTGGGAGTGTTGATATGTGGATGGTAGGAGGGCTCTGCACAGGGATCTGGGCAGGCTGAGTCAGTGGATCGAGGCCAGTGGTTTAAAAATATCTTATATATCTTAAGAACATCTGCATGGGTGGATTTGAATGATTGGAACAGCAGGACTCTTTGGCCTTTCACACCAACAATTTCTTTCCCTCAGGGCTCAGTTTTTCCTTTATATGCCATAGTTACAGTGTCGAGATTTCCCTTAACTGCACTTTAACTGGGAGAGGGAACTTGCTCCTTCTTCCAACCCAGTGATGCAAATATCTGAGTTTTGAGCGTGTGATTCTCATCAGAATAACACTCCTTTGCTGTGGAAGTGTAACCAAGTGTATACTTGTTGAAAACAAGTCATTAACTTCCTTTCCTGTAGGAGCTGTTGGGAGCTTGTCCAGCTTCCTGGGAAGGACTGGTGGGGTGGTTGTTTTTTTTGTTAACTAGGAGAGGTTTTGCATCTTTATTGCCACATCCAGCCAGCCTGTTCTGGCCTGCTTTAGAAACTTGCTAGAGGCATTTGCAAGCTGCAAAGACCTCCTCAGGTCTTGATGTAATTTCTGAGGTGAACCCTTGTCCATTCCTAATGGATGAATGGATTTCTTTCCTTTTCAATTAAAATCAAAGAAATGGATATCAAGCCTTATTAAAAAAAAAAAAGTCTTGCAATTTAATTACCATTCCAATTATCTTATTTTTCACTTAGACACCTTCTTGAATTATTTTTTTTAGGAACAGCACTGCTGTGTTGTGCAATTAATAAAATTCATAACATTCCCCAAGCACAGAAAGGACACTGACCTGTTCAAGTGAGTCCAGAGGAGGGTCACCAGGATGGTTGGAGGGATAAAGCACTTCCCCTAAGAGGAAAGGCTGAGAGAATTGGGATTGTTCAGCCTGGAAAAGAGAAGCTTTCAGGGTGACCTAATTGGTGCCTTCCAGTAGCTGAAGGGAGGCCACAGGAAGGATCTGGAGGGACTTTCTGCAGGGGGATGTAAGGACAGGTCAAGGGGAAATGGCTTCAAGCTGAAAGAGTAGGTTTACATTGGATATTGGGTGAAAACTCCCTCCTGTGAGGGTGGTGAGGCAGTGGAATAGGTGTCCCAGAGAAGTTGTAGATCCCTGTGGGTGTTTAAGGCCAGGCTGGATGGGGCACTGAGCAACCTGGTCTAGTCAAAGGTGCTCCTGCCCCTGGCAGAGGGGTTGGAACTCTGTGATCTTTAAGGTCCTTTCTGTGATTCTGTGAACGCTGCACATCCTAAATGATGTCAGAAATGGAGATTTGGTCGGTATCAGCAGAGGTAGAGCAGAGTTTCTGAAGTCCCAAACGTGCATTGAAAATAGAGAATCTGTGTTTTAAAGGAATACACAGAGTGAAACCTTTCCCCAAACTAATAGGTGCTGGACATGTTCCAGAGACAGTTCAGTCTGATAAAAATTAGTCTTAAGATAAATGGGAACTTTGCACTGCTCTGAATTGGAGATAGAACTGGTTTTTAAGGGCAAACAAAATAAAAGGAATCATTTAAGGTGTTCTCCGGAAAGGAAGTTGCTGGCTGTACTCAGATTTTAAAATTAAACTCTGCTGCAGCACATAATCTAATTTTTGGCCCTTTAGGAAGCTGTACTCATAGTCTTTGGCCAAAATTTAACTCCTATACGTTTTTCTCACTGAAATGATTTGTTATCCTTCTATAAAGGAGAATACTGTTCAAAATTTTAGCATTTCTGTTTTTTAAGTGATGGGAAAAAGCAGGAAATACAGTCTTTACTTTTATTATATATTTACCTACTGTAGACTTAAAATGTACAACTGTTCAGTGATCCTGTTTATAAGGTGTGAAGTTACTTTTGTCTTCCTCAAACTAAACGTTGCCAGCAGTATGTCTGTAATGTTATTTACTTGGTCTATTTCTGCAGGTTTTTCTTTGCAGCATGTGCACATGCCACAGTTAGGGGAGGGGTCATTTACTTAAAACTGACTGAAGTAATATCCTCAAAGTTGTGGTTATTCTTCTCATCAGGGGTTTTATAATTACAGATCAATCGTGTTCTGCAGCTTCTGTGTTTGCACCTTCCCCCCATCTCTCTCTCCCTCCCTTCCTTCTCTTCATCAGAATTGGTTTTGGTAAAGATTTGGAGAGCTGCTGTTTTTCCTCACTTTGTTCTGCGTTACCTGATTCCTCAATTTAGTTCTTTAATTTCTTACATTGTTTCCTACAATGCCATCTGATGGAAACCTATCAACGTTTTTTTAATGAGGAGGTGGTTGTTGGGTGTGAGTGCACATCATCTTTTATGGCCTCAGTTCCAGACATTCAACTGGTTGCAGGAAAAATGTGGGTTGTTTGAACATTTCCAAGGGAAGGGTGGGGCAGGTGGGGAAGCTTTTTGGAATGCTGATGAATAATATTTGACTCTTGGAAGTGCCTTAAGGGCCACACACTCCCCTCCCGTGCTTTGGAACCAAGTTTTAAAGACGCATGGTCCTGAAGGTATCACCACTGTGCTTTATTTCCTCTCTGACTGACTGGAGTGAGAGAAGGGTTGAGGTGCAGATGATGGGCACTGTGGGTTGGTGCAGGAGCACTCTGCAGATGCTCCTCTTGGTTTGTGCCCTTGCTGCTCCATCTGTGACATGGGGCACTCATAACCTCCTGCACATCAGTCAGAGGGCTTAATTCTGCTGCTTTTATTTCCTAGGTATAGTTAGCTTCAGAACTTTTACAGCTTGTGAGAAGTTAAGGTCTCTAATGTCTGTGAGCAGAGCAGAAACTGCCTTGCAGCAGAACATGGAACTGCAGGAGGAACTTGCAATTCAGTGTGTTTCCAATAGCAGAGTGATAATTCATAACAGTTTTCCCCCCAATTTCTTTTTATAGTATTTGAGCCCAAAGCAGAGTAGATACAAGATTGGATTGTTCCCCCAGTGTTGTGAAAAGCAGATACTCACTTCTTCTCACTTTTGTGGTTGTGGTAAAATATGTTCTTCTTCCTCTGCATTTGCAGAAACGATCAACTGTTACCATGAGATGGTATCTTCTTAGCTTGTTATAAGTTTTAACAAGCACATGTGTTTTACTCTATGTTACTCTTGTTACTTTTAGTAACATAGTAGTAGTGATTTGTTTTCTTTAATAGATGTTTCTGCTTTATTTATTTCCATCTTTGATCATTTAGCTGGTAAAATCTTGTTGCCTGTGTTCACACCTGCCCATCTCTCTGTGATGAATGTTTCTGTTGAAATAAATCAGTAGTTTGAAAGTAGCTTTGGTTTCAGTTACTCCTTGCAGGTAGGAGCTGTTTGATGGTTGAATACAATACAAGTGCTTGGTGGAATTTCAGTTTGATTCTCTGCCAACCAACAAGAAAGTACAACTTAATTCCTAAAAACGCTTGAGCTCTGAACTGTGAGTCATGACCCAGCATGCATACACTAATAAGGAGCTTAGAGGGTAATGAAGCCAACCTGAAGGGAGCCTGCAGGAGAGCTGAAGAGGGACTTGTTACAAGAGCATGTAGTGACAGGACATGGGGGAATGCTTTCAAACTGAGAGAGGATGGGTTTAGATGAGATATTAAGGAAAAACGCTTCCCTGTGAGGACAGTGAGGCACTGGAACAGTTTCCTGGAGAAGCTGTGGGTGCCCCATCACTTGGTCTGTTCAAGACCAGGTTGGGTGGGGCTCTGATGTGGTGAAAGGTGTCCCTGTCCATGGCAGGGGCTGGAACTGGGTGATCTTTAGGGTCCCTTCCAAGCCAGGCCGTGCTTTGGTTCCCTTGTTTTGGTGGCCATGCAGTGCGTGTTGTAACAGGTCAATAATGTATCCTGTCACTGTTTTGTGCAGCCCACACATCATCTTCCTGTCCCAGAGTGTCCTGCCAGGAGGGAGCAACCTCTGTGGGACTCGTCTGTGCCATGAGATTGCCCATGCCTGGTTTGGGCTGGCCATTGGGGCTCGGGACTGGACTGAGGAGTGGACCAGTGAAGGCTTTGCCACTTTTCTGGAAGATATATTTTGGGCTAGGGCACAACAGGTAAGGTGATGGTACATTGTTTCAAAATTGAATTAACGTGGAAATCAAAATTATATACGTGGCATGCATTAGATATAAATTAAGCCTCCTCTGTTGTGAAGAAAAGTATTTTAAAATAATATTGGAATATGCATGCTGACTTGATTTAAAAAATGTGATCCACATTGAACACAAATCTTCACAGTGGCAGAGGTCAGTGCAAATGGGAATGGAAATGTCTGTTTGTCAGTTATTACCTTTCCACAGATGTACCACTCAGAATTCAGCTATCAAACAGTGGCTCTGCATTCTTTCCACTTATATTGTGCACCTGAAACTGGAACAATCAACAGAGTCTTACTGCATATTGTAATATTCCAGGTATATAAAGAAAATTTTCTGTTTTGGCCAAGAAGTGTAGCTCAAAGCAGAATGCAAGATGATTTTAAATAGGGAACTTCACTTTTTTTTTTTCTCTTACATGCCCTGCAAGAGTTACTCTCATGTCAGAGGCGTAGAAATCGTCGCCTGCCTTGAGGTGAAAAGCTCATAAGTTGCCTGTCAGCTTGTAAAGTGTTTTTCTGGTGCAATTCTTACTTTTGTGGTTCCTCTGCTTCTTCAAGCATTTCGTGTGTCAGTCACTTCTCCCCGTGGCTGTGCCAGGTTCTGCCCCAAGGTCTGCAGGCCTCCCCCTGAGGAAGAGCAGGATGAACTGGGGTCTGGCACAATGAACTCTTCCAAACCTCCTTTTTATTATCAGGCAACTCACAGCACCAAACAAACCAGAATTCCTTGACATATTCCTGAAACAAGAAAGAGAGGCTGTCCAAACGTGTGGCTTTTCCATTTTGGTTCCAAAGCTCATTTGTGCCCTTGCACTGAGCATCACTGCACTGCTGTGAGCTGCCCACATTCTTTCCTTTTGTGAGTCACTTGGAAGCATTTTGATTGCAGCAGACACCTTCCTCGTGGCTGAGTGGAAAGGAGCAAGCAACAAAACTGTGATTAGTTCCCTTGTTAATGTATAAGGGATACCTTTTAAACATTATTGAGTAGTTTTGAAGCTATTCAATCATACAATTTTAGGATTATAGTGCATGACAATCCTTTCAGTTGCGACTGGTGTAATTCAGTCACAAAGCTGCTTTTGCTTTCCCCCATCTCACATCTATTCTTACAATAGAGAAACATGAATTAGTATTTATTTGTCAGCTGACAACCTGGCATTTATTTAATGAGTATGAATCTCTGTTAATATGACATAAATGGGGGAAAATACCACAGGGAGGTTTCACAAGTGTAGCAGGAATAGCAGGAAAGAGGAATGAAGTCAGGACACAATGCAGCTCTTGGCTTTCAAGCTGGGTGAAGATGCAATAAAATCCTCTGTGCCAGGTACCTGTTCTGTTTATATTCACTTCATTTATTGCCAGTCACTAAAGGGAAAACATCATGCTCATCTCTCTCCTCAGTCAGAACTGTTTAACAGTCTGTTGAGTTGATGTGCACAGTGAGGGGTTTGTTTTGCCTCGTGGTGCTGTTAACTAACTCTCAGAGCAGCAACCCTTATTTTTTGGCTCTTTTTCTTTTTTTTCCCTTTTTTTTAATCATTGATATCAGTACGTTTCACACACCTTCCAAATATTAAAGAGAAACAAAACGAGTTTCTTGTTCTGAAGGTTGTTGTGGTGTGTTGGGAGGCAGCTCTCAGTGTCTGTGTGTGTTTGTGTCCCAAGCAGCTCTCCCATGAAGAGGTAAAAGGGCAGCAGGAGCTGAAGGCTTTGCTTCGCTGGCGCCGACTCAGGGACGAGGTGCAGAACTCTGAGGAAGAGCTGCAGGTTTTGAGGTAACAGCATGACAGCATTGCCTTGCCTGTGCTCTCCCTCTCCTGTTTTCCACATTGTCTCCCTTCAAAAGGTATACACCCAAACAATCTGATTAAACCCGCTGCGTTTCCTTATTTCCTTCTAATGAAAAAATAAAATGCAAATTAAATTGACCAGGTTGTTCATCTTGACTGTAATGCAATTGCTTCTCCCTTGGTTTTAGAAAGCTTTCAGAAACCATGGGATTTAGTTTGATATGGAATCTCTCTAAGCAGTTTACAAGAGCCACTGTTCAGGGGGCAAAAAAGCCATTTCCTGAACAAAGTTCCCTGTTGGAAGCCGTGACAGATTCATTTTCTGTGGCTGGAGACAAGCACATGCAGTAGCATGGTATCCAACTGCCAAGCTGAGTGAAGCTTTAAGACACAAGGAAAAGGCATAATGGACTATATAATTCTTTAGAAATTACTGATAATGATATTGAAAATAGATTCTGGTCTTTGGGTACCAGATGCTGAGCTCAAGGCTGCTTTTTGGGTAGCTAGAGACATTCTTGCTTGATTAATAATCTGGGCAGGTCTGACTGGTGTCTTGGGAAGTTGCCACAGCCTTTGATCTGGAGTGTCTGCCTGACTCTGGATCCACTGAGTCTCCACTGCTCCTTCCACCAAGAAAAACAACTTTACTCATCCTGGTTCAAGTTAGGCCAACACTGACCAGATCATGGAAATATGGACAGATTTCAAGAGGTTACAGAGCCCATTTTCCTGCCCTGGAATACAGGCCATACACACAGACCATCCCAAGTGGGTTTTTACTGACATGTTCTTAGAAAGCTCCCACAGAAAAGTTCTCATAAGAGAGCCAAGCTGTCTCAGTGTCTCAATAAGACAGCTAAACTTGGTGTGAACAGTTAAAAATTCCTGCCTGAAGCACAGCTGAAATATTGTTTATTTCAAACTATGTAATTTCTTCCTTTCTTTCACCAAGTGGGAGAACAAATTGATACCCATCTTCTATGTAATCAGCTTTTAACTGTTTTTAAAAGACCGTTACCATTTCATTCATTTAAGGTCTTCCCTTCTTTTTGTGCTTGCCCAGTAGGACCTAAAAGCCTTTTGGGCACTAGAGACTGTTCACCAACATAGAAATTCTTCTCCTTGGCCTCTTGTGATCTGAAATATCACCAACTTTGTGACTGTGGCCTTTCATTGATCTGGTTTACTTTGTGTTTATTGATGGATTGTGTTATCCTGTGTGTAAGCAGAGTAAATGAATTTACCCATTTGTAAGTGTGCAATTTGATGATAGGTGTAAATACCACAGCAAGGTTTATCACTGGCTGTCACAGAGCTGCTGCCAGCACAACCACTGCTTGACAGGTGCTGGGGTTTTGATTTGTTTTATACAATTTGTTTTTTAATATTGGCTCTTGTGATACTTGAGGCTTTTCTGCATGTGTGTTTTCCATTTTCAGCAGTGTGGAATCACATTTGTTGTCTTTTGTGTTAATTGTGTAGCTGTTATTTTTAATAAAATGTTATGTCGTGTAAATTTTTAAAATAATTTTTCTAAGGGTCAAAATCCTTTGTAGGTTGAAACTCAGGAACAATTGATTTCTTTTGAAACTGGAACTTAAGCTTTCTATTGACTTCCACAGTTAGTAGACTTAAGTCTCTGAAGAAGAATCCTGCTTACCTTTTGCACAGTGGTATTCTCAGTGCTAACACAAAAGAGTGGGAAATAATTTCTCATTTGAAAAAATATACCTCTAATAAACACTTGAGGAGAGGCCCATGATGCCAGCTTGTGATTCTGTCCATCTCTTCTTCTTTAATGTCTCTAATTTCTTGTATTTAAGGACTTTTTATCGGTTTCAGTCACATATAAATACTATCTACTGTTGTTGTAGTGTGGACTTGAATAGGTTCTCTCTTTGCATGTTTACTTGGGGTTTTTTTCTTTTCTTTATCCTTCTGAAAGGATGTCCTTGTGCTTTCCAAAACTGGTATGTAAGGGAGAAAATTTCAGTCCTTGCCCTGAAGGGACAGGACTGAAGCCGAGCTGGGTTTTGAGCCTGTGCTGAACCTTGGGCTGGTTCAAACTTGTTAAAAGTTTGTTAAAAGGATATTAAAAGTAAATGATACCTGTTTGTTACTTCTTACCAGTCATGTCAGGGAAAAAAAAAAATCAGCCAACCCACTCTTACCAAGCATAAGCTTATTCTTAATTGCCTTTTTGTTCCCTGTTGGACAATCATATGATTTTCTGTGCTTTTTCCTGACAGCTGGAAAAATCTGCCCAAAACTCGTCAGCTGATCCCATCAGCTTTTGATCCAGCAAGTGAATGCTTGTTCAGACCAGGTGAAAGCCACTCACCCAACTGATTACCAGCCTCGGGTTTCTTCTTATTGTGGAATTTGGTATTATGTTGTAGTAGCATGTCATGAGCTACCTGTGAAAAAAGGAGGTCAGAAAGAAGTCGGTGACTGTCTTTTCAACAGGCAGCAACTCTGAAAGGCAGCACCAGCAAATCTTGGTGTTGAAGGAGGAGTTTATGGCACTGCAGTGCTCAAACGGAATAAAACTTTCCAACAGGATCATGTATCTTCTCACACATCTTGAAGCGAATCTGGAGGGATAAAAACACCTGTGAAATGTGTCTTGGCACTCGTTCTGCTGGCAAGCACGAGCACCAGCACTCTCATCCAGCCTCTCGTGTTAGGAGAGGAAAGAAAACTAGAGAAGTCCCATTCTGTTCTGTGGAATTAAGCTGGTGCTGACATTTGTCTCATGTCCTGGCCTTTATGACTGAACTTCAACTTGTGGTTATTCATTAAGGGTAGCCAGTGTTGATATCTGACTCTGAATTAGGTTCTGAGTTCTCCTTGTGTCGAGTCCGTTTCTGTCCTGAAGCAATGCTGTGTTACTGCTCTGTAGGTGTTTAAAGAGTCTTGTTCTGTCTGGTAGGAAAGCACTCTGGACAAAACTCTGATCAAAAACTGTTACACAGATATAAAAAAGGAAGAATGTTTTCCTCAAAGGAGACATAGGTATAAAAGAATTTGATCACAGGGATGAGCTCCTGTAAAGTGCAGGACTGATGAGGTTTGAAGAATCCTGCACTGCTGTGGCCTGTATTTCCCCTGTTCTGTAGAAATAAAGGGAAAGATGTTTGGTTTCCAAGACCATTTCAAAATCCACATTTAGAACTGGAGAGGTTGTTTCAGTCACAGGGTTAAGCTCTTAAAACAGACATCTGTTCTTAGACTACTGTTAGCTGGGATATTTTCCGAGTGGAAGAAAAAAGCCAGAGAGCTCTTCAGTACTATGCCTGCAAAGGCACTTCTTACAAATTAAGAAAAAATCTTTGCATGGCTTTCCTTTAGTTTCACTCTATGCTCTTAAGAGCCCAGAGTCCTCCACACTTTACTGCTGCAGATTTGTGGCACACCAGCTGCTGTATTAACGTTTTAAAATCAGGCTGTAAAGAATTAGGTTTGTTCTTGGCATTATTGTCTGTAAACCCCGAACCTGTGTGTGAAAGGCTTCCTCTTTTAAAACTTCAGCTGCTTTTCTTCCAACCCCAAATGGCAAAATGAAAAACAGAACACTTTCTTCATCAGTGTATTGCATGCAGGTGAAAGAGGTTATTCTTGCAAGTATAGTCACATAAGCTATTAGGCCACTGGTCAGGGATATAAAGAGAAGTCTCAAGTTGAACATAATGACTTCACCATTGTCTCCTTCCTCTTCCCTCCCCCTTAAAATGTCTTGGTTGTTTGTTTGTTTCTCTTTGTTCATAACTTGTCTGCACTGGAGGATGACGTGGAACCTGATGTCATGCTGGCTGTGAAAAGAGTACATACACCACCCTAGTGATGGGTTTAATTTAGTAGGAAATTCATTTGTTTAACTAAGTCAAATTATATATTCAGGGTGAAGGAGAAGCCTGAACTGATCACAGGTGTCTGCAGTTACTGTGCCATTTATGATGCTTTCAGCTATTAGAACGAGTGATGTGTGAGTTACTTCTTTACTTACTTATCCAAAACTTAATTAGTGCGTTTCTATTTTAGGCCCAACAAGGGGAGCACAGGAGAATTGAGTGAGTCTGGAGCATCTGTTGTCAAGTATGGTCTTAAAGCAGAAAAAATCTTCATGCAGGTTCACTATTTGAAGGTGAGTGTTGTCAGTTGATTGTTATTGAAGTTGCTTTATGAATGTGATAAAGATTTCTGTCTTCTGGGCATCAGCAAATTCATGGTTTCCTCTTTGTTTCTGCCTCAATGTCTTGCAGGGTTATTTCCTGTTGAGGTCTCTGGCCAGGACAGCAGGAGAGGCCTCGTTCCTTCTGTCTTTGCGGAAGTTTGTCCGTAGGTTCCACGGGCTGCTCGTCCTTTCCCAGGTAACTGTGCCTGGGGTTGGGCTTCACCTTCTGAAAAAATAATGACTCAGACTTTTGGATTGACTGTCTAAACCTGCACTTCTGGTTGTGGTGTGCAGAGAGGGGCAATTGTCATTTGGCAATATGGGTGAAATTACTGCCTGCTAGAGGGCAGAACGTTTTTTTTCCACAGTTATACATAAATCAGACACCTTGTTGGTATCTGATAATGTAAACAATGGGTGATTTGTTTTAACTTGCTACATTGAAAGGTTCATAGATACTTACATCAAAGATAGGGTCATTTTACCATACTGGAATTGTCTCCCATAATCTTTTGGCTAATGGGTTTTACCTGTGATCAGTCAGACTTTCACCTGATTATCCTCTGTTCCTGAAAGAGAAAAAATCATATTTCTGACTTTTCTTCCTCCCTGCATGCTGCTTCATTCAATGCTTGTCATGTCAGTGTCCTTCTCATGAGGACAAACCCAAATGGGTAGAAATTTACCTCCCTCTAGGTCTTTCTGGAAAAGTCCCGTAACTGTTGGCCGTGGTTTTGTTTTGATTTAGGAAATTACGTAGCTCTGTGAACCCAGAGTTCTAGGAATCCTGTCATTGGTGATGAATCCAGCTGGTTCCACAGCACTGCAAGTAATGCTGTGAAAACAACCATTCATGGGGGTGTCTGTGAACCAGGACTCTGAACTCATGGTTAAAAACAGTCCTGGAGCAAAACCTAGGACACAACAAATATTTAGCATTGCTGGAAGAGCAGTGTGATGAGAGGCAAAGGGAGAGAAAGGGTGTCATGGTTTGAAATACCAAAATCCAATTCCTGATTCCTAGCCCCCCTCCCACATCTCAACCCCAAGGGCAATGAGTGAATTTCTGAAACCAGTTTCTTTGCTGGTCTGTCTGTTCTGGAGTTATGTTTCAATTCTTTGGGGATGTTGTGGACGGTGATAAATGTCTCCTTGCAACACAGAGCAAAGGCCTCTGGTTTTGCAGGGCTGGAGTCCAGCACTTGCTGTTTCTTCCAGCCACTGGGATTCTTTACTTGCTGTTCTGAATCTCACTCCTGTGGGGAGAGATGTGTGCCCATGTATCTTACAAACAGCTCACAGACCTGGGGATTCTTTCACATGTCAGGTCACCCAAGAGTCAGGCAGCAGCTTTGCCCTGTGAGGAATATTTGGGATGTTGGGGACTTCACTGTTACACAGGTGGAAAAATTTTGAAAATTACAGAAATCATGAAACTGCTAACAACAAAGGCAGCCCAGTGTTTTAATCTGGTGGTGAGGAAAGTGCTCGTATGTTGATGACAAAAAGTTAACTTGTTACTCCTGGTTGATGTGAGATGAGTCATCAGTAGATTGTCTGAATGCTGCAAAATGTCTCAGCAAATTATACTACTAGTCTTAAAGATTGTGTTTATATTAGTTTCTGGTGTAGGTAGATAATGAATCACAGCAAGAATTGCAAATGCAGAAGCAATAAAATCAAGTTAGTACGAAGTTTCTGGTTCAAGTTTCTTCTTGAACAAACATGCTGTCAGTGTTTAAATGAATAAAAGACTTAAAATAAATAGAGGTGAAAATGGTGAGTTTAAATATCATAGTGCTGTGTTTTCACCTTGTCCGAAGTAGTGGTAAAAGTTTCCAGCTTCAGGAATTCTGGGCACAAGAAAAAGTAAAACCAGTGAAAAATTGCCCATGTTATGAATACCAGTCTTGTTTTCAGTTGTGTTTGTAGTAATTTTCCTAGATGGGAGCTGCAGGTGCAAGGAAATTACTTCAGATGTGAAACCTTAATCAGTTTGCCTTTTCCCTTGGCTTTGCTTGCACGCTCAATAAGATTTTAATAGTAATTTATTTTAATTGAGTTAGCAATAGGTGAGTAAAGCAGGTCTGGAATCTTTGAGAAGGCATTTTAAAAAACTTCCAGTTTTCTTTCTGTGAGAGAATCCACTTACTGATTGCTTTGAATGAACTTTTAAAATAATGAGTGGAGTGTTATTTGCTGTAACTAAAAAAGGAAGAAGTGAGAGTTGCTGATACTCCTAACACAGTTGAAGCTGTTGTTTGTATTGAAATAGGAATATCTTGGGAATTGAATTGTTTGCAGACTTTAATTTTCATGTAGTTCTGTCTGTTATAATAGGCAACAAATCCTAATTTTGACTGAAGTCAGTGGCTCCATCCCTGGGGCTTAAACTTTTGAGCTGTCTGGCCAAGGATTGCTGCCTGATAATTGAACATATAGGTGGGGAGTCAAACTGGCTCTTGGTAGGAATTATCATCTTTGGAGCTGCATTCTGGGCTCCTCACCAAAACCCCAACAGAAGGATATAAAAATGTTGTTGGTTTTGTTAAATAAAAGCCAGGAAGATGAACGGGGAGAGAATTCCAAATAAACAGGGACCTACAAATGGTGCTCATTATTTATTTTTTCCACGCAGAGGGGATAAATTAACACTTACCATTTAGTTATGTAATGTACAAACTGCATATTTGATAGGGGTGGTTTAACTTTGAGTGGGTAATTTCTGCAAGAAATTGGGTGTAAGTGAAATCTGAGTTTGTTGCCACGTGAAATGTCCATTTAGATGTATCACTTTTAGTCATGAAATCTCCATTGCTCTTATGCACCTCATTTATATTTCAGTCAGAGAATTTAAACTGAAGTGTCTGTTGGTTGTAGAGCATTTGAAATATCTAGATTTGAGGTTTTCATATGAAGATACAATTTGTCTTTTAATATTGAGTGTTCTTTATTTGATATCAACGTTTGTACAGCCATTAGCAGGGCAAAGAAAATTTCTCCTTGATCTCAAATTCAGAGTCTTCTCCAGGTTTGATCTGCCCAGCAGCAGCACAGAGTTGTAGTTGTGAGTGAAATTGTTGGCTTCAGTCGGGGCTACAGTGGGAGCAGACAAGAGTCATTAGGGAATTCAATTATAAGAGACCAGCAAATCCTCAGTGAACGTGTGTGAACTCATTTTTCTAAGGCTTTTTCAGTTTGGCCAAATGTCAATAGAATTACAGAAACTGCAGAATAACCTTTTCTTTATATAGGGAAAAGTTGTTTTCTAGCCTCTGGGTCTCCAGCCAGGGAAGAAGAGCAGGAGCAGTGAGATGATTTAATCATATCAGTATAAGCCAGTTTGTACATATTGCAGCACTGGGAGGGCACATGACTTCTAATTCATATTTTCTTTCTGCCTTCACTGAACTACTTGCAACAAAGACAAAGAACAGGCTATAATTTGTTTTATGGTCTGATCCAGAATTTATTTATGATTACCCTGGTCATCCACAAGTGTAAGGTCACTGGGACATGGCATCAAAGCTTGAAACCCCCTGCATTTCCCTCTGGGTTTTCTCCTGCTAAACTAGTTTGTCTAAGGAGGAAGAAAAAAATACCATGAGGATAAAATTGCAATCCAGATGGTTAAAGTTTGGCAAAATCATAAGCAATTGAAAAGTCAGGCCTATAATGAGATGTGTCATGCAGACTTGATAATAGGCAAATGTTGAAAGCCATGCTAGTATGAGTAAGTGGTAATTTGTTTTCCTGCTCTGCTTTGGAGCATCAAAATAGGAGCAGTTAAAATAAGACAGAATAGATTAATCCTAATTTTAAGAAAGTGTGTAGAATGATGGTTACTACATTGTTCTTATTAGATATTTGGAAAAATGAAGACAACTTTAATCACAAAGATGTTTAATTTCATAGTACAATATACAGAATATAAACCCATTTCCAATACCAGAGCTATCTTTAAGTATACTATGTATACTAAGTATACAATCAGAAATCAGCCCCCACTCATACACTGCAGTGAGGAACATTGAAGAACATGTAAACACCCTTAATTTTGGTGTTTCCCAACCTTTGAGTGTGTGAATCTGCAGCATTTAACAGTTTTAAATGTAGTTTGTGTGTGTGTGTGCATATTGTAGGTAAAAGTGGGAATGTGGGGTTGTGTTAAAACAGTCATCAGGCTTTTCAAGTCCATTTTCTTTCAGTGTTGACACTTTTTGCGTGAGTGGGTTGGGAAACTGCCAAACATAATGTATGTTGTATAAATAACTGAGCAATATATCACCATATCAGATATATAAATTTATTTCTTATCATTCTTTTATTTGTAGTCTCTAAAAAAACTTTGCTCACCAGCAATGCAGACACAGGGTTACATGTTCACAAGCAAACTAACTGTGGTGCTTTGTTCCTTTTCCAGGATTTCCTTTGCATGCTGTTAGAAGACATCCCTAAACAAAAAAAGTAAGAACTGGGCTAGAAAAGCCAAAAAAAAAACCCCAAAAAAGTAAAAATCAGATTTAAATACCAGCTGTTGTAGCCAGAAATAGTGGGATTTCACTTAGTATTGTTCTGTTTGCTTTTTTCAAGTGTGTGATTCCCTTCAGAATCCTCCTGTGTGTGACTGTGGCTGGTTGGATGTGACTCAGATTGTCTTTAGCAGCACTTTGAGTCCATCCCTGCTTATCTGTTGGTTTGTTCTGTGCTGCTGTGCTACAAATACAGATTCTTTTGTAGTGGAGCTTTACATATCATACTTTTCAAAAATAACGTGTTTACTTGAAAAATGTAACTTTGAAGACCAGTATTCCAAGAGTGTTGATAGCTCTGGGTGAGTGGTTTGGAAAAAAAAAAAAAAGGAGAGAGGAAATTCATAGAAGTCAAATGTACTGAGTTTTTTTAGTGAAACACTTCTGTTCCTAATGGTTGAGGGACAGAGAAGCTAATTATCATTGAGAAAATGTGTTTTGTGACACTCTGAATTTAGTTAGGGTGGTGTTACATTTTCCAGTGATGTGCTGTAGGATGGTACTTCGTTTATATAATTGAATATAGTTTCCTGCTGAAATATAAGCAGGAATATTATATGGTATATATACAAAAGTAGATTTTTTAATGGTATGGTTATACATTAATTTGTTTAAAAAACCTCATTTTCCTTCCTTTTCTCTTGTGTTTCTCTGAAGTCCAAACCCAGTGCAAAATGTTATTTGTGTAAGCATCCAATTTTCTGCCTGTACACATGCCAGTGTATTTTAACTTTCAGTGAGACTAATGCAAAAGAAGTGTGGCTCCATTTGTGATGCATCACACTCCAGAATGTATGAACAGAATTCAGATCTGTGGTAATTCATTTTACAGTCATATATGTAGCATATCTGAACCTATCATTTACCAGAATTACCTTGGATGCAGATTTCAACAGCAATGCAAGAATAATAGAATATCTGGATATACAGAAGGCCTTTATTTCTTATCTGCTGCAAGGATGTTTTTTCATTCTTAAATGCATTCTGTTTCTACTACAGAGATACTCACCTGAGGTAAAAGAAAAGGGAGGAAAGAAAAAATGAAATATTTTTAGAGATCATCTATTGATCAGTTCTTTTTTACACAAAGTTTGTTGTGGGAATGAAGTGCATTTCAATACTAGAGCAACAAAATTCTTTGTAGCACACAAAACCTTCCAGACTTGTGCAGTTCTACCAGGCAAATTTTAAAAGTTTAAACTAAATGCTTCAAATTTGACAAATATTAAGCACTCTAAGATACTGAAGTTTGTAATGGAGGCTGGTCTTAATCATTAAAAAAAAAAAAAAGAAGAAAAGAGAAATGTGTAGTAGATAATCAATAGGGAAATTAGTGTAGTTAGCAGCAGAACTTGGCTTATGGGAGATGTTTGTAATGAGAACAGGATGAATACTGGCAGAAAACGGTCATGCAAGAGTGTGGAAATTTTCTGTAATTATTACACTGAAGTAATGTAACAGGAACTTTCTACTGTTGGATGCAGAGACCACATCTGAAAGATTCTCACCTTTCAGTACTTAATTCCTGTAGTTTTTATTTAAAGGAGATTTTAAAGTACATTCCCAGTGATGAGTAGTTCCAAATACAGATGTAGTTTTTTAAGGGGCAGTCACTGATTTTTTGCTGCCTTCTGTGTTCAGAGGAGGAGATTTTTATGCCTGGTTAATAGGGCTCCTTCCCTTCCTGCTCTGATTCAATTATCCTGGCATGCTGGCTGCAGGAATCCATCCTGGGAGGAGGATCCTTCTGGTTCTGGGCTGCAGCTGAGTGCTGACACCAGACGGGCTGAGCCTTCTGGGCCTTTATGATGTCTTATCTTGCCTTTAAGGCAGATTATTTGTCTGTGTGAAGGGCTGCTGGTGAGGAGGACAAGCAGAGATTCATCATTACCCTTCTGTGTTTAGAAAGACTTTTAAAATATTCCATGCTGGAGTCTCACGTTACCTTGGCCCTTCTGCAGAACAGCTGCAGTGCCTCCCACCTGTAACTGAGGCATTTGACTTGCTCCTGGGTGATTTGAGACTTCACTACGTTGAAAAAAACAAACAAGCCAAACCAGACACCAACCAAACCCCTCCTGTGTGTCTGTATAATACAGTGCACTACGTTTTTTAAAACTCCTGGTTCTCCCAAGGCTCACACCCGCAACATGTGCTGCACCTTCATCCTCTGCACACCTGCCCAGCCCCGTGAGCTGTGCCCAGGCTCAGTATTTACCCCTGGAACAGAGGCTGAGCTTCACTACCTCAGATAAATCTTTAAATCTCTAAAGAGTTGCTGCTTGTGCAGCTACTTTGTGACTGCAAATATTTTTTGAGCAGGTCAGGTCTGATCTTTGGAGTTTTCTGCTCGTAGTTTTTATTTTATTTCATTCAATAAAATAAATGAGTCTACTAATAAGCTATGGTTTTAATAATATGTGATAGACAAAGGAAGGCTTGTGGTACAGCTCTACTATTTGTACTGTTAATAACCCAGGCTCACCAACCACATTCCTTGGATGTCTTCATAATTGTCAATTAAGTACTAAAATAATGCTTCAATTTCAAACTACTCAGCTATATATTTCAGTTGGATATGGCAGACTTTTCTATCCTCCTTTACATATTAAAAAAGTTTCACACTTTCATGGTTTCTTAGATACTTGGTAACTTTGAGATTTAATATCCATCAGTCCCTCTTAAAACCCCAAGGTTTGAAGAAGTTTGAATTTAATTTAGTGTTTTATCTTTACATTTAGGCTGCTTCTTTAATAAACTACTGGTTTTGAATGTTTCAGTATAAATGTACCTGCCTGAGACTTTTTTCCTGTAAAGAAACCAAAAGGCCACTGAGGGAGAAGCAGAGGACCTTCATGCTTCATACTTCACGTGTTTCATAAATGTGGTTTTACCACCCAACACCTTCTCTGTCAATCCTCCTGAGCACTGAATTTATCATTTGAGTTTTGAGCACAGAACATCTGATCTGCCTGATTTGCTCATGTGACCCGTGCTGGTATTATTCATTAAAAAACCAAGGATGTAGTACCACTGCAGTGCAACAAATACTTGGAATTAGGGAGTTTGCTTAGCTTTTAAAGGGTTATTTTTTTATATGGAAAAAAATGGTATTTCTATGTGTATCCTCTAATTTATTTTTTTTTCCCCCCCAAGATCCGGGTTAACTGTTGAAAGTATCTTCCAGAACTGGCTTGACACTTCTGGAATACCAAAGGTAAATATAAAATACCAGTTCACAGTCCCTTCTGGAGTCTTGCTCTTCTCATTACATTATGTTATTTAAATCATTACCTGAATTTATAACAGCTATGATTTTAAATAAACAGATTTGATGATGACTGCTTTCCAAACCTTTATGTGGGTTTAGCTTTTATCATTTGTGGGTTTTTGCTTCTACCATTGTCTCAACAAACCTGCCAAAGGGCAAATCTTACAGAACTTATCCTGCTGATTAATCCTGTAGTCACATGGAAGTGTGTTTACAGAATAGTGATGGAATCTACTAAATGTAAGGAACTTTGTGCACAGTTGTCAGAATATGAATTCCTTGAAAGCATTACTGACCGTAGTAACTAAATGTTAAATTATTTGTACTTGATATTTTGTGAATATTGTGACTTGCTGAGGAATCTGCTGCAAGGGTAACATCTATTATTGGTGTTTCAGCATTGAGACTTAGCATTGTTTTCTGCTTTTAATGCTGAAAGCTTTTAATATTCATATTTTAGTGCACAGGCTTGCTGTGCAGGGTTTCTCACAAACAAAAAATAAGGAATATAAGAGATGAGAAGCAAGTATTTCTGGAATACAAGCTTTCATGAGGATTTTTTCCTGGGGATGCGTATGGTGGTGTTAAATAAGGGGAAGTATATTGCATGGTTGAAAATACCTTTTATCAAACCAAGCAACCTTGGTCTTGTACTTGTGTCTCAGCAGTGACTTATTGGGGATTACAGCAGCTTTTCATCATGTGCAAGTAGTGATGACTTAATGCCACTGGCTTTAGACAATACCTTAAGCTGGCAAGGAGTAGAAACAAAACAGCATTTAGAGCTGGAAAACACCTGTGAATCACTTAAGTTCACTTTATACCTGCTTCTGATGATTTGTTTTCCTAAGCACAGTTTCTAAGAACATTTCAGTCTCTGCAATGTTTAATTAGAGTTTAAGGCTAAAGGCCTTATGCTTCTTTGGGAAGATTTTCTCAGTTCTGCAGAAACTTGTCTTTGTCTTATATTGCCCAGTTAATATTACCTGAATTTCTTATTCTACCTTAGATGGTTAACCTTTTTAAAATATGCTTAAAATCTTTCCCCCTTTTTGAACTCTGTTGTAGACTGTTTAGTTGACAAGTGGATCAATAAACATTATGCAACTCATAAACTTCTAAATGTATTTCTTAAACTCATTCCAGTTTCAGCACTTTTTCTTTTGCCTCTGAAATGGCATTGTATCATAATATGTTATTTTTTTCTGGTAGATTTCCTATATTGATTGTTTCTTACCTGTATTTCAGTTGGTACCTTGTGTTGTGAAAGTGATCTTCTCTAGATTCATTCTTAAGTTTAAAAAAAAAAAACAAAAGGGAAAAGAAAAGAGAAAGAGTAGTGGGCCTGCTTCTTCATGATTTTTAGTTGATACTTACCACTTGTTTATTTTTTTTATCTGAACATGGAGATTTTTGTGTGTGTTTTTAATACCAGCACAGAGAATATAACTGATTCAACTGATGGTTGAATTCTGTTTGAGAAATAATCTGAAGAAAGCGTAACTGCTACCTTAACATACATATTTGTTCTTATACATGGAAACCATACTTTGATGAATAAGCACTTCCACTCAAGAAAATGGTTTGTTTGGGTTTTGTTTGTTTGTTTGTTTGTTTTTTCTATTAGCAAGTTTGCAGATTGGAAGATTAAAAGATCTTTCTTAAGTCGTTAAAAATGTAAGTGAGCACAGGTCAACAGTATCAATTGTTTAAGTGATAACAAGCACAATAAGAAAGAAGTTTTTGAATGTGACTTATTAGTGCTGTGTTTTTTCTACTGACAACATTGCATCCCATTTTCTTAGAATAAAGATTTTGGGGGAATATAAAAGTGTAATCAATGTGTGTAGTACTGTAGCATGCCTAAATGTTAGATGAATCATGAAGATAAACAAGACAGACAAACTCAGTCTCTGTGTTGTTGACCCTGAAAAAGATAAAGACTATCCACCTGAAAGTTTTCTAGATAGACCACAGGATACAGAGAATTTTGTTTGCAACAAACTGTCAAAAAAGGTGTAAGGTTTGTTATTATTTAAATAGATCTGTATTTATCTAAAGAAGGTTATTGGCATAAAATGGCCTTGTAATTTATTTAGCCATTCCTGTAAATTGCAGTTAAGATACTGCTAAACGAGACACAGCAGTGGTGTATTTTTTTCTATTGAATAGTTCAAAAGTTCATGAAAATGGCTTATATAAAAAGACACATCATTAAATGTTAGTAAGGACACAAATTTGTTACAGAGCTCCTGAAGTTCAGGTGTGGTTTAAAGGCTTGTTATCATTTTGGAGGGTTTGATTGAAGTTTCTTCTGCATTGTCTGTGATTGCTGATTTAGGAGAAAACCACAGACATTTGAGATGCGAATAGTGTTGTTACAAAGTGTTGTGTGATTACATTCTAAAATCGGGTAACATGCTGCCCCAGGTTAGAAACTCAGGGGGCACCGGGTAACTTGGTGTCCAGGTTGAATGTGACTTTTAAAAGTTAGATTTGAAAGTATCGGCTGTAACATTTTAGTGCCTGTGTTGTTCTGAATTCTAAAAGTGAAGCTTAAAACAGAGTTTTAGGAGACTTAATTTAGGAGTCTCAATTCATGAAGTGAATAATTAAGAAAAAAAATGCTTTTTTGATTCTCAGCTGGGGCCATGAGTCTACATTAAGGATGAGGAGGATACTTTACTCGGTTTAGTTTTATGACCTGCTAAAACATTGGCTTGCCTCTTCAGTTAAAAGCCAGATTTTCACAGAAGTGATTCTGTTTTTCTTCAGACTGCCTTTCAGTATCATGTATGTTCAGCTCAGAGGTAAAATACTTGTAGTGGTAGAGTAAATCTGCACAAGTAATAACTTGGTCGAGAAGCTGAAGTGCGTTTGAAACTAATATTCAATTTCTGCAGTAAGTGTGGGCTGGATGCCTCGTGTTTGTTCATTAGGATCTCTTTTAAGTTTAATAAATCTCAGTCATTTTCATTCCCTTTTCCTATTAATTGCATTGCTGAGCACAAAAGCTGTGTTATGTGCAGAATGGCCGAGCTTCTCTGTGCTAGGAAGGAGTTATGTTTGGTATCTAAGAACAATAACAGTTTCCTGCCTGGCTGATCAATGCTGGACTGAGTCCACATTCCCAAGCTCCCACTCTCCCACCTACATGTGCAGGGGGTGAAAACATAGCAAAGGGAGGGAGGACAGGCCCTCTTTTTCACAGAAATGTTGAAGGTAGACTTGCTTAATAAGGACACAGCTGGGCTTGCATAGCAATAAACATTGATTTTAATTTGTTGCTTGTAAAAACATCTGAAGAAAAGCACAGAAGTTAGCAACCAATTAATTTTTAGCCTGCTCATTGTTTTCTTTACTCAGTGGAAACAAACCATTAAGGTTTAAAATATTTTTCATGCTACCTTTCAAGAAAACAGCTTTTCTGTATTAATTAGGAAAGAGTGGGCTTTGATATGTCTGAAATCTGTCCAGTTTGGGGCTCCTTATAAGTAGTTTTGTTGCATCAGAACGAGGTTATGAAATAATGAAAAGTCAAATGCTACTCTAGGAAATAATATTTGAGATCTTTTAAGTGCAGGAGGATAAAGAGTTGGGCCTGAAGCTGAGGTAGAAATTTTATGTGACAGGAACAAGTTGCCACCCACCATTCCCAGTGGTCTAGGGTTTTTAAAAGAACACTCTAAATTTTAGTTCCTTGAAAACTTCCCTGATTTCTAGGCTTTTAGAAAGACATGTTTGTGACTGGAAGGAGTGAATATGTGGGGAAGATGTATTTCACACGTGTAGAAACACATACTATGCATGCATACTATGATGTCCATGCATCCCTCTGTAGTGCTGACCCAAAAAGTGTGACCTGCTGATTCATTACGGAGTGCAGGGCCAACCTAAAATCTGAGGTTTTATGTCCATACGAGATTGTATTAAAAAGAGTTATATCTTGCTACTTTTAGAGAAAGATGTTGTAATTTTTACTCTGGACTGTGTTGAAGTTCAGAGCACATGGCAGTAGTTCTCAAGCAGAAAGGTCTAAATATAAACCAGCAAACTACTTTTCCAGTTGCTCCAGAGGCAACTGTATAGTAGTGAGAGGACCCAGTGAAATTAGAAGAGGAAGAAACCAAAGAGACCATTTTAGCATACTCTAAAAATATTATCATAACGTAGATAATATTTTATCATAATATAGATAATATAATGCTGTGTGATACATAAATCATATATCGTACGCTATATATCATATATATGCTACATACAATTATTTAGTAATAAGCACATTATTTAGAGATCCTGTGGTATTGTTGTTAGAGATGCTTTCTTTATTAGGTTACGAATCTGATCTTGCAACTAAATAGGTGGTTCTGGGGATTCAGTGATTCATCTTTCCATAGTACCTTTCTTCACAAAGCAGGGTTGCTAATGTGGATATGAGGGATATATTTGGATTACCAATTTGAAAAACATTTCTGCCATAGTCTGTGAAAGTCCTGTTGCAGTGCACTGAAGGTACATCCTTGATGTGGCACCAGTGCCATGGGCTGGGAACCGTGGTGGGGTTGGATCAGGGGTTGGACTTGATGATCTCAGAGGTCTTTTCCAACCCAGCTGATTTTATGATTCTATTGTTTCAGTAGGGTTTTGTCTCTTGGAGGTAGACTTATTTTAAGGAAGAGGCAGTTTGACTTGAACAGAATTTCTCTGTAGGGATGTTGTGTTGAAAAATATCAGATCAGCGTGCTGACCTGAAAAGAATGTGTTTACACCACCACAGCGACTCTTGGAGGAGTTAGAACATTTAGAACATGACCATCTTTCTTAGAAAATGAATAATGTCAGAAAAACTTGATTTTCCATTTCAGTGAGTAAAGCTGTACACATGAAAACTGCACAAAATCAGTTGGAGAACTCGCTGTTCTTAGAGGAGAACATTCTGGGCTGGATTTCTTTTTCAGTAATTTTTATTTGCTGCAGATTTACTGTTTCTTGCAATGTGGATGCACCAACCATCTTGTGATTTTCAGATGTAGCCCACTACCTGCTTAGTTTCTCTGCCACATTCTGGCAACAGTAGTGTTTTAAAATCCTTACAATTGTTTTCTCAGTCAAATGCTTCAAGCCATACTTGATCATCTAGTGAGCTACTGGATAAAATACTTTTCTGTATTTTCATTTTCTGAACTTTTTTTACAAAAGATTGGAAGCCAAGTTTTTCCTGCTGAAACAATTTTCAGGTCATACAGACTGTTCTGAGGGCACATGATATTCTCAGTCTCCAAGTAAGCTAATTTTCTAACTATTGTTCTTTTTTTCCCAGTAAATCATCTGTGTGGTAGGAAAACAGTTGTACATCCTACATTTTATCATAGTTCCTTTAAATTATCCATTTCTGGTATTGCAGAGATGATGGCATCAAGCTTAGGAAGCAAGCTGTATCATTCTAGTGTGGTAGGATGAAACTAGGAGGGAGTCCATTTTTTGTTTTCTGTTAAATGGGATGATGTAAAAAGGTACAAAATTGCAATTTGTAGACTGGTGAAGTTAGCTACATTGTCCAGGAGAAAATGACTTTTCTGTGCTCTTGCTGGTGTCCATGTAGATCTGAGTATATAAATGTCAGGGTGTATATGTGGTGTGAATTTTGGTAATTGAGAGGAACATAATATCTCTAGAAATGAGAGGTTGGAAAATGACTGCATTAGTTATTGATTTCCTCTGCTTTGCAGGAGCTCTTCTGAAATTCATTTACAGTAAATATTATTATTCCACGTTTTCATCTTTTTCTTTTTGCTTTCCAGTGTCTGAGGAATGTTGGAAAGCCTAAAATGGTATTGATTCAGTGTTCACCTTAGGTAAAACCACCTTCTTGGTTTATCAATACTGGCTGTCTTTGCATAAGAGCAGCACAGAGGAACTGAAGTTATAGACAACATATGCAAAGTGCATGATTATAATTTTTCACTTAGTTATGAAATATCTCCATTAGCCATCACAGCCAGAGCAATTTAAAACCAGTTTCTGTTTCGATGTAAAATGAAACAGTTGTCTGTTGCACAAATATCCTATTGTTTTCTAGGCTATGCACAACTCTGCAAGTTCCTTTTACGTTTGGGATCTGGTCTGGCTTGAAGAGGAACTGGTATAAATCATTACCTAAGTTATTTATATTAGGCCTGCCTTCACCCAACTGGTAGAAAGTGCTTCTTTCTCCCCCCATTTTTCAAAATTCAGTTATGTTTAATCCTGATGAAAGACTGAAGGATCCCGGCGTGCTCTGGCAGGTATAAAGGCTTGTTGGCAATTTTAACTGTTCCACAGGACAGCTCCATTAGTAGTCTCTGAAACAAAGTCTTCCCAAGTGAAAAAGGACACAGAGGATGGACTAATCTCTTAATTTCTATTGTGATTTAAGTATGACAGTCAGCATCATGTGGAGAGCAAACAGGACTGTTGACAGAGGGTAATGCAGTCATTCTCACTTTAGACTGGGTGTGCCATCACTCTTATCTGGTGTAAGTAAGCTTTTGAAGTACAGAGGAATACAGTAGGAGACAAAACGTTCTTAAAAAATCTTTTTCCCCCTACCTCCCTTACCCTCATTCTCTTTTTTTATTCCAGCTCCCTTCTCCTTTTCCTCTTCACCTGCTCTCTCTTCCGTGCTCTCTCTTCCAATCCCAGCAAAATTTCCTAGTCTGGTTATGAGCTAAATCTCATTGAAGCCCCAATAAGTGAACAGTTGGCTGCACAGCCAGCGTGGTGTGACTGCCCCTTGTCAGGCCCACCCTGTTCCTGTCCCTGCCCTCTCTCCTCTGCAGGGTCTGCACTGGCACGTTGGCTCTTCCTTGTGCTGCAGGGCTCTCATCTCAGTAGGTGAGTGTCCCAGGGAGGATGCCCACAGCAGCTCCAGGGAACCCCAGGTGTCGGCTCCACAGGGTGTATCACCAATATAAAAAGTCAGGAACAATTCCCCTTGAGTTTCCTTCACCGCTCTGCAGCTATTAACAAGAAAACGGGAGCTGCCTCTGGGTTTTAACACACAGGATGTTTGTGTGTTCATGGATTTTCATCCCAAATCAGCCTCAGGGTCTGCAGGTCTGAAAATCAGTGTCTCTGGTAACTTCTTTTTCCCCTAGTTTTCTCCAAACATTTGACAGGAAAGAAAGTGTAATTTTTAAAAGGATTTAAAGTATAAATGTTTCATTGTTTCTATGGTCCAGTGTTTCCCATAACTACTTCTGTGGGAATATTCAATCTAATTTGTTAACTGATCCAAGGAAATACTGTTTAGGTAGTTGCATTCATTTGTGTTTGCAATTAACATAATTTTTTGGTCGTGATTTTGTTCATTCTCTTTGAACTATGCTCTGTTCTTCTTTCTTCGTTCAAATGCACTCGGTTCAAGAGTCAAGTTAGAGGAGCCTTCAGAATTATCATAGTAAAAAATTTGTCATGGCTTTACAAAATAAAAATGTGTTACTCAGTTTCAAGTAGACCTTGTGAGTATGAAATAAAAAACTATAGTAAGATTTTCTACTGTGATATCTCTGTTAAAAAGTTCTTCTTTGTTTAATGGTTCATAGTGAAGTTGCTTCTATTTAAAGCATCGAGTTTGATCTTGGCTTTGATCTAAAGCTTTTGATCTTGAAAGAAGGATGTTGTGGCAGTAAAACAAAAAGGGTAGAAAAGATTTTTCTTTTTTTTTTCCAAGTGGTAAAGGATACTTTCAAGACTTAGTATGCACTTATTTGACTTACCTTTACTTAAATCTGTTTGCAAAGTCCATCTAATTCTATATTTTTGAGGGTTTGCTCAAATGCATGCTTTAATGAACCCTATTCTTATACAAGAGCACAGATTTTTCTTCTGAAGCTTTCAGGGAATTGCCAAATATAGTACAAGAGTATAAAAAAAAATTAAAATACTGAAAATACCTTACTAGCATCATTTTAACTGTACCAAGTATGATACAGTCTATCTTTTATTGCCTTTTGTTTTTTAAATATAAACACAAAGTACTTTATAAAATCCTAACTTGAGAATTTATAGTATTCAGATTTTGCATGGCTGACATGGCTTGGGTCTCTCCCATCGTGGTGGAGTTAGAATATCCTCCTCAGAGGCTGCAGACACACCTGTTGAAGTCCCAAATTTAATCACATCCTCACAGCATCTTGTCGAGTAAATAAAGCATTTAGCCGAGGCCTGGGTAATGGACTTTGTTTTTGCTACAACATGACTAAAAAGCTGCTTTGCATCTTGATTTAAGATGCGTTTCAGACCCTCCAAGGTAGTTTGATAGTTGGGTTTGGGAGGTGCAAGCAAGTACCGAGGCCAGTCTTGGATCGGTTAATGGTGATTCTTGCTCTCCTGGACCAGCCCCGTTCGGCCAGTCCTCCGTCCCACAGACCTGGGACAGCGGCTGTTGATGGGAGGGTTCACAGGAAAGTGCCTTTCACAGTGAGGGTCTCGAAGAGAGTGGGTATCTCTAATAACCGGGCTGCAAACCCGGGACGAGCGTGTCTGCCGAGCTGGGGAAGGGCCGGGCCGGCCACGGAGGGAGCGCGGGGCGAAGGCACCGCCCGGGCCGGGCCGGGCTCCGAACCTGAGGGGGCTCCGGGCCGGGCCCCGAACCTGAGGGGGCTCCGGGACGGGCCCCGAACCTGAGGGGGACCCGGGCCGGGCTCCGAACCTGAGGGGGCTCCGGGCCGGGCCGGACCCCGAACCTGAGGGGGAACCGGGCCGGGCTCCGAACGTGAGGGGAATTCGGGCCGGGCCCCGAACCTGAGGGGTCTCCGTGCCGGGCCCATCGCAGCCGAGCGGTGCCGCGGCCGGGCCGCCCCGAGCCCCGGCCCTGACGTGTGTGAGGGAGGCTCCTCCTCCCCGCGGGGCTCCGGGACCCCGCCGAGGTGTTTCATTTCCTACCAGGGCTGCGCTTGTGCCGCTGCCCGGGCGGGAGCGGGGATGGCCCGGGATGGCCCCTCACGGCCCCGGGCGGGGGCTGTGCCGGCGGGCGGGCCGGGCTGTGGGCGGACCGGGCCGCGGGGACCCGAGCCCGCCTCACCCTGCGCTTTCTCCCCCGTGCAGCCCCTGCTGGAGGAGGTCGAGACGTGGAAGGAGTGTCGGCTCGTCCAGCAAGTGCGCGGCGAGGTGAGGAGGGGACCTTTCGCGGCTGTTCCATTGCACCTCTCGCTTCTTTGCCCCCGCAGATCCGCTCCGGGAGTTTTCCACCTGATACACACCGCCCCCAGCCCGCCGCGCTTTCGCTTTAAAAAATAATTGCTTTCGTGTTAAGCATAAAAATATTCGTAGGGGCAAAAAAAAACCCCAAGTGTCGTTACTTTATGAGATAATAACGACCCCACCAGCCAGATCTGACGTTGGTAGTCTGGGACAACGCTCGAGTGAGTGGCTGGAGATAAATCTCTTACTTGAACTAGGCGGTGTACGGGATAAGGCACAGAGATTTTGCCCAGGATTTTTGCACGCTGCAGTGATAACTTTCCGTTTGGCAACCTGGCCTGGCATCAAACACGTTCTTTATGCAAAAAACCTTAAACTGAGAGCTCTGAGATGAAGAACAGCACCTCACGCTTTGTCCGTGCACAAGTAACTAAACAGATTACCTAAAACCACGTCAGCCTGTGTGGGAAAAGTGTTCTTCCCTGTCCAGCGAAGCAATTAAAAAAATTGTCTTGAGGCTCTTATAGCTTTTTACCAATGCTGAGTAGCTGCGCTCAGGTTGTGTCTTCTTCCTAAAAAAGCACCATGGTTTTGAACTCCAGGTCACAAAATGGATTCAGACAAACCAGAGGGTCAGGAAAAGCAGCAAAAAGAAAAGAAAGCAGGATGAAGTAATTTTCCAGAAGGTAAGTGATCACGATACCTGTTTGGGTAATGGGACAAAGGGCAGCAGATCCAAAATGCTTTCTGATTACGCCTCCCTAAGCTCTGTAGCGATGTTATTTACCGTCTTTGACAAGGTGATAGTAAAAAAGGGTGTTACAGATAAAGTTTCACAGTCACTATGTAGTTACAATGGCAAGAATTTAACAATCTTTTCAGACTGTTAGTGTAGGAGACAAAATTTTCCTATAATTATATTTCACTGGACCATTCTGAGGAAGAAAGAGAAGGGTGCTTTCATCAGAGAAATATAGCACTTGAGAGCTTTTAACAGGACCTGCACCACTATTTTTGGATACTGGTAGCCGAGAAACAGTTTTCATGGTGGATATTCGGACAATGATAGATGTGATGTGTATGTTGAAACATATATTCAGACTATGCTGTTGACTTCATTCAGAGTGCGAGTTTGAAAGTCATCTGTTTGCAATATAGATTTCAGTTAATGATGATGTGTATAGAAGGTTATTTTAAAAATTACTACAGAAGATTCTTAAACCTGAATGCAACTAAATTTGAACTATTTTCAACCAGCGATTTTGATTAAGCTACTATGAGAGACTTGTTCTTAAATTGCGATGTAGAGAGGTAAGTAATTAGCTGATGTTTTAACTAAATAGCTGTTTTCTGTCCTCTGAGGGAAAAAATTGAATAAAAAGTAGATAAAGATGCACTTCCAAATGCATTATGAGAACTATACGGTTTTTGCTTGTTTTGGTTTTGCAACAAATTTATGATTATTTTTTAAAACTCTTGTTACCTCTGAAGGATTAAAATAGCAGTGTGTTGGTTTGCTGTTTCGACAGTGCTTCTAGAATGCATGATGAATCATTGCTGTTTCTGTAGCCAAATTCTTGCTGATAGCATGGCTGCCAACTCCTGGGATGTGTTGCCTTAGTACGGGCATTGCAACTCTATGACAAATGTCCTCAAAGTGCCTTGTGTAGGAGTGATTTACCAGCTCCATGGTTAGCTAAAAACCACCAAAAAGCATCCTTTTATTCACTACTTGCATTTTGCAACTGGAAAACATAATTTAGGAAGGATGTTCTGCGTTGTTGTACTTTGGAATGATGTGATTTAAACAGAGATAGCATAAACTGTTTCACCGGGTAATTCCATTTTTGTTTATGTTTCTGTATGTGAATGTGTGTTTGCATGTATGTGTAGCATTTTATTTACTGTCATTTTATGTTAAGAGGAATAAGACTTTTTTTAGGCTAAAAATTGTATCATCTTGGGAATTTGTGAGCAAAATGCATTGATAGTATAAATAACCCTAGTACAAACCACAGTGTACATACATTTTGAAGTAATTTTTAAATGGTACAAAGTAGATCCCGTGTTACTCCTGAACAGTAGGTTTAGAAGTGCCCTATGCTGTTACACCAATCCTAATCTCTTATTATAGGAGAAAGCTTCCTTAGTACTTCCTTAGTACTGATAAAATTCTATTTCTGTTGGGGGAGTTGTTCTCCTGGTGCTCTGTTTGTGAGAGAGAACTTCAGCATGTAGGCTTGCCGTGTTAGAAATGCAAAACCTGAGGTGTAAACCTGAGATATACTCATTGTTTTTCAAACAGTGATTCTAGAGCAAGGTCTGTGAATTTAAATTGCAGGTGAGCATAACTGTTGTCTTCTAATATCCATAAGTATTAAATATCCCGGGGATCCAGTGCAGCTTCCCAGCGCTGCATCGGCCGGGTACTCAACTGCATGGGAAGGAAGAGGTGTAACAATAACCTCACATTTGGGACTAAACCACTGACTGGTCACTGAGGTGGGAATTCTTTAAGTTGCATAGAAGTTTGGCCACTGCAATGGTGATTTTCCAATACAGTTTCAGATGAGAGAACAGAAGAGAAGAAGGGCGAGGGACCTCCTGGAAGTACTTCATTGTGTTGTTTAGTTTCAGAGTTGGTTGCAGCTGGGTTTTCAGTGAGGGCTTACCAGTCAGTGCCATTTCCAGTCAGTGCCATTTCCAGTCAGTGCCATTTCCAGTCAGTGCCATTTCCAGTCAGTGCCATTTCCAGTCAGTGCCATTCCCAGTCAGTGCCATTCCCAGTCAGTGCCATTCCCAGTCAGTGCCATTCCCAGTCAGTGCCATTCCCAGTCAGTGTGGATGGTGCTAACCTCTGTTCCACCAGGATTCTGGGTTTTTAGCTGTGTCCGTATTAGTTTTTAGCAGGAATGGTGTTATACAGCAGTTAAAGTATCTTTCAAGATAAAAAAAAAAACAAGAAAGAGAAAAGCATGTAATGGAAAAGTGAGGCACCCTTCCAGCAAGTAGAGAGGTAGGAATAAAAGCATGGAGTGAAAAGAGGGAGCTGAGAAAGTGAGCAATAATAAACAGAGAAGTCAGAGAGTTGGTACCAGCTCATCTTGCAACTGTGATTAATATAAGGATACTGATCTGCTACATCTAGAAAACTGAGTTTGGCTTTAATCTTGTTTATCCTTTCCAAGCACAAACTTCTTAAATGTAGCTTCTAAACTTGCATGTGCCCGTGCTGTCCGATTTTCCTCTGTCATCTCTTTCCTTTGTGATGGGAAGTCCTATTTCTAATACAATATGGGTGACACTACTATACTGAGACACCACCAAATCAAAGCAACTGCTGTATCCAAGTACAAAATCTAGGACAGAGAGGTGACTCTGTATGTAAAAAGTGAAACAGAGTTGTGAAGGAAAGGTTACTGACAACTGCCGGGGAATTGCTTCTTGAAACAGTTGCCTTCTAAACAGTTAAGTTTGTAGGAGCTGACTGTGCTTGCACTTAGGTTTATTTAAAGAACATGTGAAGGTACCATGTGGTGGATAAGAACTACCTGACCAGGAGTGTGAGCTGTGCTCCAGGGGTGTATGAGCCGCTGGGGAAGGCTGTGTAGAAAGTTGTGCTGGTTTCTGGTGTGCTGAGTTCTCATACTTTTGCTTTTCTTCCATATTTGGGAGGGCGGTTGGGGTTTTTTGGATGGGGATTTCTTTTGTTGTAGCTTTTTCTCATTGCTAACATTTTTACTGCTCTGTCTCTGCAGTTTCTTATATTTTCTTAACAACTTTTGTCCCAGTCTTTTTTGCCTGCTTATTTTTCACCCCTCTTTACTTTCTCTGTTTTCTTTGGACTCCTTTGGTTACCTTTGGTACTGTTCATTCCTTTCTATTTACTTTCAGTGACTTTATCTGTTGGGAAAAAAAAAGGAGAAACAAGTTGAACAATTGAAAAAAAAGTTTTTTTTTGCTCACCATGTTTTCTGTTTATAGTTCTCTATAAATACTCTTCTTACAATGTGTGTATACATTGTATAAACACACTCACCCCTAGCATTCTTCTTTTGTCATTCTTCCTATTCTCTCACATTTCTTACTCCTCATTTATTCTTGTGCTGTCTGTTCATCTTGTCATTTAGCTGCTCAGCACAATTAGCAATCAGGATGTGTACCAATACAGGATGTGACATTTAGAGAAGGTATAACAGAGCTTGGAAAGAATTGTACGGTTAAAATTAGCGTTATTATGAAGAGTGCAAAATAAATATTAGGTGTTATTATTTTTGTTGTAATACTTGAGTGTGCCTGCTTGAACCAGTGCTGAATGTTAGGCAGAAGAAAATAACCTTTCAGTCAGCCTAGTGGAATTGTAGCATGCAATCTGTGTCTGTTGTGGAATTTGAGGGGAAACATTTTTCATTAGAAGACCGATTCGCTTTTACTTGACATTCAGTGTTAAAACGTAAAAGCTGCTTTAAAAATGTTCCAGTGGTACAAAAAGTGTAATAGGATGAGATACACAGTGTACAGGTACCCGGTATTTAGGAAAAACTTTGAAATACGTGTGTGTATATATATATATGTATATATATATATATATATATATATACGCACAGTAGGTAAGGAAAATGTTTCTTGCAAATTATCAAAATTGCATTTGTCTGTTTCAGTTTTATTTCGATTGTAAACTGAAACTTTGAGGAGTAATTCAACGTTACCAGAATAATTTCTGCTGCTTTCTCAGAAATATTGTTTTAATGTGTTTGAAGTTTGTCTGCTGGTTTACCAGCAATGTGACTGTCATTTGATTTTTCTCCTACTGGTTGTTGCTGTTGATCATTTGTCTTGCTCCAGAGATTTACAATTGTCAGTATTTAAGCTCTATGAATAACCTGAGCAAAAATGACTGTTGAAATGGCTGTTAAGTTTCTAATAAAAAATAAAAACCCCAAAAGAGTTGTGATATATATGACTAACACTGAATGCTGTAACTCTTTTGTTCTTTAACAATGAATTCAGTGTAACTGAAATACAAGAAACAAATCTTGTAATTCACTAAAATGAGTCTTCTTGATATACTTTAAGTAGAAAATGTTTTGAAGTCTCAGAAAAAGTATTGATTAAAAAAATTGTGTGGTGTAAGACAGCTCTTCATTAAGGAAATTTATTCAGGATGATGTGTTTCTGCTAATTCAGGTAAAGACTATTAATATATAGTGCATTAAAATTACTTTAAATCTTCAATTGCCATGTATTTTTTTGTTTCTCAAAATGAATGTTTTTACCTGAATCCAACAAACTAAGAACCAAAGCAAGGATCAAGTCTGAAATGATCCCAGAGCGTGTGCACTGCATAGTGCTTAACAGCTAAAAGAAACGTGGTGAAAAGTCCTCAAGTGTTACTCAGAAGGTCTCCTGTGGCATTATTTGCTGTACCAAATTAATCTCACAGAACTTTCTAGGAACCCCGTAAACTGGCCTTCACTGATTACAGAAAACATTGAATTCCTTTTGAGATCAGGAGTTTGAATGGAAGACTTTATACCCAGCTCATGCACAAGATCTGAATTGCAGTAGATGTTCTTAAGCTATCTGGGAAATAGAGTAATTTACAAAACTTTTCCTCTGCATACATATGAATATAATTTTAGGCCATTGGAACTAAATGTTTTTAGTATTTAGTTTTGCTTCCCTG